GAGCCCAGGAGTTTGAGGTTGCTGTGAGCTAGGCTGATGCCACGGCACTCTAGCCTGGGCAACAGAGTGAGACTCTGTCTCAAAAAAAAAAAAAAAATTAGAAACTTTGTGTCTAAAAGCCTCACTCTCACCACCTGCACAATGACTCTTCGGCAAGAAGCACTCAACTCCTGGCTGCTTGTCTGGCTTGTTTCCTCATCACCTTCACTCCAGCAATGTCACACTACTCCAAGCTCCCCAAGGACACTGTGCCCTTACTCACAATGTTCTCTCTTCCCAGAATGCCTGTCCTGTATCTGTCGGGCAAATACTTACTCATTAAGACAAATCAAATGTCCATTCCCTTTACAAAGCCTTTCCAGACTGTTTGATTCTCCTTCTTTTTGCTCTTTACCTTATAGAAACATCTGTTAAAGTACCTGAAACTCTTTAGCCAACAGATCTGCTCCCCCTATAGACTACGAGCCCCTTGTGGGTAGGAATCATGTAGTCATCTTCATTGTAGTATGCTCAGACCTAGTTCAGTGCCTGGTCCAAAAAAGTCATTAACCGATGTCTACTGGCTGGGCGTGGTGGCTCACGCCTGTAATCCTAGCACTCTGGGAGGCAGAGGCGGGAGGATCACTTGAACTCAGGAGTTCAAGACTAGCCTGAGCAAGAGCAAGACCCCCATCTTTACTAAATATAGAAAAAATTAGCCAGGCATGGTGGTGCACACCTGTAGTCTGAGCTACTTGGGAGGCTGAGGCAGGAGGATCGCTTGAGCCCAGGAGTTTGAGGTTGCTGTGAGCTAGGCTGAAGGCATGGCACTCTAGCCCAGGCAACAGAGTGAGACTCTGTCTCAAAAAAAAAAAAACCCACGAATGTCTACTGAATGAGTACATGAATACGTATCTACCTCACTATACTGAGTTCTTGGCTGTTAAGCAAACTACTTAAATGATTTTAGTCTTGGTGCCCTAGAATCCAGGTCCAGGACAGCAGCAGCCCAGGAATGCTAAATAGTGTGGCCCCATGAACAAAACTGTTTGAGTTGAAGGGCACTAATTACTGCTTATATGAGTTCAACTACAGGGGCTTGGGAGGAGGAGAGGACAGCAATGTTCATATGTGGAAAGACAACCTCAACAAGAAAGTAAGTCCAGTTAACTCTCCCTCAACTATGCTGATGGAGGAAAACAATGACGGCACAAAAAATTCCAACCAGTGGACAATCCATAGGCCAATATCGTTAAGCCTTGAGACATGTATTATTTCTTTGCAGCAAATTTGTCTTCCAGATTCTATACGGTTCAAGCTACACACACATAATAAAGGATGATAGGTATCTAATGTAGGGCTTTATGAAGTTCAGCTGGAATGCAGACACCTGGGCAGGCCAAGAAGTTCCCCTTACCTGGCACAGTCCTGGGTGCCTGCCTAGATGGCTCCTCAGGTCCCCTTCCTGATGTTGGTGGAAACCAGGGGTTATAGAGAGGCCTCAACCGAAGGCTGCCTCAGCCAGGTCAAAGCTGGATAGGGCACTGGCAGGTTTCCCATTTCTCAGCCCTGCATCCACAGCATGGAAGTGGTTTTTGCACAGCCACCTGATACCGTCTACCCTCAGTTGGCTATTACTGGCATTGACCTAGGGACTAAACTCCTACTACCTAGGATGGGCAAAATGTGAAAAAGGGGAAAGTCAGCAGAGATGGAGAGGCTTGGGAGAGGGCAGTGGCAGCCTTTCCATCTACCATTGGTCTGGCTAGTGTGAACTCCAGTGCACTGTGAACAAAGGGAGCAGTACGCTCCGATCCCCATTTAAAGAAATGAGGCTGAGGGAGGGTGTTCAGAGCTAGAAGAGGAAGACCCACTCTGGTCTGGGATGACTTGATCCAATTTCCTTCTTCCTAGTCAGCCATCCTCCTCCTCACTCCACAGTCATCCCTGAACCCCTGCACCTCCCCACTCCCCAGAGCACTACTCCCTAGCCCCCACTACACAGCACATATTTCGCATGGTCCACAAGTCACTTCAACCTCTCCCACTCTCAAGCCCCAATTTCTTCTCCCAACCATATCGCCCCTTTCTCTATGTGTCCCCATAATCTTGCCTCGGAGTCTGGCTGCTAATTCCATTTTCCATTTTTCCTTTCCCAGTCCACTATCCTCCCCTCCCAGGGGGTACTTTCTGCACTAAGCTCACCTTCGGGCACCTCCTGTGGGCCAGCCACTTAATAGTGACCACTCCCCTGAAGCCCTCATGGGGGTCGTTCGCCGGGCCCCGCCAGAGCTGCAGCAATCCCTATACCTTTAAACAAGCTCCACGTGCGTGTCAACGGCGGTGACAGCATTTCCTAGTCTCTGGGCTCCCGCCCCCGGAGACGCTGCCCATTGGCTGCTGTGTTTCCCTGTTCTCGTTCTAATTGGCCTCGCTCCGGGTAAACTCGAACCAATGACCTCTCCGCGTCTGTCTCCCTCTTCCGATCCTGGACTCCCATTGGCTCCGAGGACTTGAGACCTGTTAGCTTGGCTGGGCGACTGGCAAATCCTTCCTTCCGCGGTGTAGACGCCTGGGCAGAGAAATTGGTTCCGAACCCAGGGGAACCCAGCGCCAGGCAACGCCGGGTCACGTGGCCAGCGGCCCCTATGACGTGGAGGCTGCGGGGCGTCACCGCGACGTTTGGGCGACCTGCCCAGTGGCCAGGTTACTTCCGCCTGTGTGGTCGCGGTGCTGCCATGGACCTGGGACCCATGCGCAAGAGTTACCGCGGGGACCGAGAGGTGCTGCCGCCGTCGACCGGACAGGGCCTCCTGCAGGGGGCAGGGGAAAGGGGTGCCCGAGTCATCTGCGTAGGCGAGGGGCGTTGGAGAAGCCCCATGGGGCTTCTGGGGCCACCCCCATGGGAGAAGGGGTATTCAAAAAGACAACCACTAGAGAAGGGGTTCTGGGGAAACGTGGATGAAGATGAGTTCAAGAGGCAGCTTGTCCTAGTGGCTAAGAGCACGAACTCTGGAGCCTGCCTTAACCTCTCTGGGCCTCAGTTTCCTCATCTGTAAAGTGCTAGCACCTACCTCACAGGGATGTTATGGACTTAGATATTTGTAAAGTGCTTAGAGTAGTGATAAATAGCTTATCAAAAGTTTGATAAATAAGAAAGGGGAATATGGGGAAGGGGGCATAGCTCAGAGAGGAGGGGAGGAGAAAGCTCTTAGCTACTGCCTGCAGTGCCTTCTGCTCATCACTTGGAGTTCTTTTCCTTTCCCTCCTTAGCATAGGAACCAAGAGAATGGTTTTGAAGTCGGGGTCCAGAGCCATGGTTACCAAATCTGGTTGCATGTGAAGCATTTTCAGAAATGCTTGTTTAAAATGCCATTAATCATTAAACCTCAGACTTACTGAATGAGAAATTATGGGAGTGGAGCCCAAGAACCTCTTTTTTTTTTTTTTTAAGGCTTCTCAGCCGATTCTGATAAACAGATAGGTTTGACACCCATGACATGAAACCCTGATTCATCCATCACTAGCTTTAGGCCTGGGAATGTTATTTGACCTTTTTATGCCTGTTTCCTCACTTGTAAAATGGGGCACAGAATCTACTTTCCAGGAACTGTTTTTTATTATGAGGTCATTGTTATGGGGACAAAATGAGTTACTATTTGAATAGTGTCAGGTATATAATAGCACTATAAGTGTTTATTAAATGCAATAGAACTCCCTTCCCAGGCATTTGAGGAAGCTCATCTGACCTCCCTGGACCCAATGAAGCAGTTTGCTGTCTGGTTTGAGGAGGCTGTTCAGTGTCCTGACATAGGGGAAGCCAATGCCATGTGTCTGGCTACCTGTACCAGGTAAGCATAGCCATGGTACCCTGTGGGTGGGTACAGATGAAGTAGCAAACTTAGGAAGCTCTCAACTTGATGGATGCCAGTTTTATGGTTCCAGCTCTGTTATTAACATGCTGTGTGGCTTCAGGCAAGGTGCTTGTCCTCTCTGGGCCTCAGTGTCTGTCTTTACCTGTAAACCAAAGACCAGACCACTAAGTTCCATTTCAGTGATACAGTGCAGTGCCTTGTTCATCTCTGCCCTTGATATACCCACACACAACCCTTGCCTCCCTCATCTTCCCATCTATCCAAGCCCTGTCTGCCCTTCAGCAGCTATTTCTCCTAGGACCTCTTCATGAAGTTCTGTCCTCCTGAAATCTAGCACAGTGCTTGGCTGTATCATTCATTTGACTATCATATACCCTTTGAGACACTCTCATATTAGCCTCTGTTCAACTCCTCTTGTCCCTGCTCTTTTGAAGGCAGGGCTCTTGTACTGTGCCTGTGGGTATCCCCCAAGCTCTGAGCAGATGAGCTGATATGAGAGCACCTTCTGTGATCACTAAGCAGGATGACTGCATTCTTGTTGGTCCCTGTCCTTAGGGCATTAGGAGTTTGCTAGGGCTGCCGTAAAGAAATACTATAGACTGGGTAGCTTAAACAACAGGAGTTTGGCTGGACAAGGTGGCTCACGCTTGTAATCCTAGCATTCTGGGAGGCCAGGGCGGGAGGATTGTTTGAGCTCAGGAGTTCAAAACCAGCCTGAGCAAGAGCGAGACCCCGTCTCTACTAAAAATAGAAAAATTAGCCAGGCATCCTGGCGTGCACCTGTAGTCTCAGCTACTTTGGAGGCTGAGGCAGGAGGATCGCCTGAGCCCAGGAGTTTGAGGTTGGAGTGAGCTATGATGACCCCACTGCACTCTACCCAGGGAGATAGAGTGAGACTCTGTCTCAAAACAAACAAACAAAAACTCTAGGAGTTTGTTTCCTTGCAGTTCCTGGAGGCTAGAAGTCTGAGATCAAGGTGCCATCCGGGTTGATTTCTGGTGAGGCCTCTCCTAGTGGCTTTGCAGACAGCTGTGGTGTCTCTTCTGCTTCTTTCAAGGACACCAGTCCTGTTGGATTAGGGCTCCACCCTTACAACCTCATTTAACCCTAATTACCTCCCTAAGGGTCCTATCTTCAAGTACAGTCACATTGGGGGTTAGGGCTTCAACATATGGATCTGGGAGATCACAATTCAGTCCATAACAGGGCCCTTGGCAGTGGTGTTATACTTGTACCTATAGGACGAATCCCCAGGAGCACGTGGGAGTGGGTAGCCTGACAGCCGAACCAGGGGGATACAGCTGGAGGGAGTGCTCAGACCCCTTGTAGGGAAAGGAAACTTACAAGGACTCTGAAGTGGGCTGTGACCACAGTGCTCTACTGTTTGCCCCTAGAGACGGAAAACCCTCTGCCCGCATGTTGCTGCTGAAGGGCTTTGGCAAGGATGGCTTCCGCTTCTTCACTAACTTCGAGAGTCGAAAAGGAAAAGAACTGGTGAGGATTCACGGCAATCCTTTCTGGGGCCTGCAGGGCCCAGCCCTTGGCTCCTCAGTGGCCTTCTACTGCCACTTCATGCCCCAGGCCACCTGCTGTCTGTGTGCAGGCGCCCTCCTGCCTTGAGGCCTGTGCATTTGTCCGTGCCTTTGCCATGAATGAACAAATGCTCTTTCTTACCAGCGCCGCCCCTGGCAGCCATCTAATGATACCTAATGACACCTTCAGGCCTCAGCCCACGTGTCACCTCCTCAGAAAAGTCTTCCTTGACTCCTATGCTGAGTCAGCAGCCCCTGGTGCTATTCGATGTCATTATAACTTGCAACTTGCCTTTTTGCTCTTTTTTTCAGTTTCTAGCTGTGCATTTATTTATGTGATTATGTGACTGATGTTTGTCTCCTCTGCTAAACAGTAAGCTCTGTGAGAGTAGAGGCTACATCTATACTCCTAGCACCTCTCCTGGTGTCAGACACAGAGTTGGCACTTTGAATGCATTCAGTGAATGAATCCAAAATGAGTAGCCCTCCCTGAGTCCATGCCAGTCAAATATGCATTTATCAGGATTTGAAAATCTACGGGTGGGAGAAATGGCCAAACCTCACTTTGGTGTCAGACCAGCTTAAACCCAGCTCTACCACTTACTGTGTGAACTTGAGCATGTTACTTAGCCTCTCTGAGGCCTGTCTCCACATCAGTGACAGTAGGCTTACTTTTGGGGTTTTGAATGAGATATTATAGTGAATGCATCTGCTGTGGGCCCACATGCTGCAGATCTCTTGCCTTCCCCCTGCATGCTGGTGGCATCCTCTCCCTGTCCTGATGGCTGTCTGTGGATTCTCTTTCATTTCCAGGACTCTAATCCCTTTGCTTCCCTTGTCTTCTACTGGGAGCCCCTTAACCGTCAGGTGAGTGAGCTTTCCCAGAACAGCCCGGGATGGGCTGGGTTTGCAGGGCCTGAGTTTATGGATGAGCCTAGTAAGGTTTCCAAACTGGGCAAGCATCCTACCTGGGCACTCTGCCTCCCAAATAGCTCTCAATTAGTCTGTCTATATTTGGAGCCAGGAGTGGTGGAGCTGTCGATAGAAGAATAGAGAGGACCGGGCCTGTACTGGGAGGGCAGGGGGCATTGGACACCATTCAGCCAGGGCCTTCCCTGAGCAGGTACGTGTGGAAGGCCCTGTGAAGAAGCTGCCCGAGGAGGAGGCTGAGTGCTACTTCCACTCTCGCCCCAAGAGCAGCCAGATTGGGGCTGTGGTCAGTCACCAGAGTTCTGTGATCCCTGATCGGGAGGTGAGTGGGGCTCCTCTGTAGTCCCCCAGGTGTCAGGGGCCTTGGCTCATCCCCAGAGGCTGTCCCAAGGGGATGCTGGGGCACTCTCTGTTCAGCCAAGTGAAAAATGTGAAAAGGACCATCTCCCTGGTGGAGGTGAGGTTGGGGAATGGGGAAACAGGCCTCCTATCTGACCCTCCCATTGACCGTGTGCTCCTAGAGGACAGAGGCCAGTCTTCCTTGCTCACCTGTGTCCCTAGCACCTGGCCCAGTGCACATGCTCAGTAAGTCCTTTTTAAATGAATCAATGACTGGGCCTGGCCTTCCTCTATCTCCCTTCCCTGGACAGTATCTGAGAAACAAAAATGAGGAACTGGAGCAGCTCTACCAAGACCAAGAAGTGCCTAAGCCAAAATACTGGTGAGTGATACTTGGTGGTCATCCGGAAAGGGACACCAGGACCCCCACGTGTACCTGAAGCCACCCTGTCTGTGGAATTGCACTTCTACTCCTCCCCACAATCCTCAGCAGTTGCATCGCCGCATCTTCCTTCAGGAGACCCTGGGATGAAGGAGGGTGGGGATGGGAGACTGTCCTGGCTGGAAAAACCCACAGAGCACTGAATCCTCTCCTTCTCTTTACAGGGGTGGCTATATCCTGTACCCACAGGTGATGGAGTTCTGGCAAGGCCAAACCAACCGCCTGCACGACCGCATCGTCTTTCGGCGGGGCCTCCCAGTAGGAGATTCCCCTTTGGGGCCCATGACCCACCGCGGAGACGAAGACTGGCTCTATGAGAGACTTGCCCCTTGACTCTGGATCTGCCATGGTGGAGCTGGGGCCAGGTGCTGAGAGAGGGTATGAGATTGGGAGCCAGGCCCTTCTAAACTCAACCCATTTCCCTCCCTATCCCTATAGTTAGGACTCTTCAGAACTCATCCTCCAAGATGTCTGTACTCAGCTGGCTCTCAGTTGGCTGGTCAAGTGGAGTGTAACAATGTCAGAGGGTCACAAATGGGAAATAATCCCCTAATTAGTTTCTTGACCTTGCATATGATTTGTTGGAATAGCTCCCTCTAGGGGTAGCAGCTGGTGTAACTTCCTTTTTGATGAACTAGCAGCCCTATCTGTTACCATGTGAGCCATACTGGGCAAAGCCAATTGGTCCCAGTGTAGGCACCTGAGCCAATCTAGCCAATCAGATTGTTTTGTCAATAATCTGAAATTTGCCCATGTGGTGTTTCACATCTATAATACCAGCACTTTGAGAGGCTCAGGAAGGAGGGTCACTCGGGTCCAGGAGTTCAAGAATCAGCCTGGGCCGGGCGTGGTGGACCATGCCTGTAATCCTAGCACTCTGGGAGGCCGAGGCGGGTGGATCCCTCAAGGTCAGGAGTTCGAGACCAGCCTGAGCAAGAGCGAGACCCCCGTCTCTACTAAAAATAGAAAGAAATTGGCCAAACATCTAAAAATAGAAAAAATTAGCCGGGCATGGTGGTGCGTGCCTGTAGTCCCAGCTACCTGGGAGGCCGAGGCAGGAGGATCGCTTGGGCCCAGGAGTTTGAGGTTGCTGTGAGCTAGGCTGACACCACGGCACTCTAGCCCAGGCAAGAGAGATTCTGTCTCAAAAAAAAAAAAAAAAAAAAAAAAAAAATATATATATATATATATATATATGGAATTTGAAATGCTGAGAGCCAGAGCCTTGGGAGTCATTGTAGCCAAGTTATTAATGACAGCCAAGAAGCAACAGCCTCGGGCTGCTGCTGTTGCAATTCCCTGAGCTGCCCTGGGTCCCTCCTTCCCAGGTTTGTGTTGTGTATTTCCTCTTCCTGCCTCAACACCCCACTGTCTCTGTAAATTGTTTTTTCTTTTTTTTTTTTTGGCTTAAACTAGCTAGAATCAATTTCTGTTGCTTGCAACTGAAAGAACCTTATGTGACTCATTTACTGATAGGATATTTTTATAGCATTTCCCTTACTGATTGCTGCCTTCCATTATTTGAAGCACAGCAATGTGGAAAGAGATTAAATTTATTCTCTGTGGCTCCAAGGGACCCATAGGTGGAAGTTGCAGGGAAGTAGGTTTAATCTCAATATGGGGAGAGATTTCAAACTATCAAACCTGCCTAATAGGGAGTGTTCTGTCACTAGACATTTTCAATCCCAGTCAGTCAGTAATTTTGTAGAATGGATTTATATGCCTGTATCAATAGGCCAGGAAGATTTTAATCAAGCTTTGCTATCTATGTTTGTTTATGGAAACACGCACATATTTCATTCTCCAAATATAAGATTAAATTATTATAGAGATTATGCTCTTTAGACTGCTCACACATCCCCTTCTCCTACTCCCCACCTCCACTGAGGATGATTTCTAGGTCACTCATTGTCACCCACACTGGAATTACCTGGGGAGCTTTAAAAGTCCTGATGCCTGGGTCCACCCTCAGAGATGATTGAACTGGTCTGCGTGCAGCCTGGGCATTAGGAAATTTAACAGCTCCCCAGGGAATTCTGTGCAGCCAAGGTTGAGACCTAGTCTATCTAGATCCTTGCTTGCTACCCAGTGCGATCCACAGGCCAGTAGCATCAGTGTCGCTTGGGAGCCTGTTAGAGATGCAGACCCCAGGTGACTGGTTGTACTGGCTTCAGTCTCTAAACCCACAGTCTCCCACCCTCACAGTCTGTGATCCTTTAATAACCCTCAGCTGAGTCTTGTGCTGAACTGAATTTGCTTTCCGTGAGCACCAGCCTGCTGACCAGAGACAGCCTGGATGAGCAAGCGGCCTACTGGCCACGGAGAGGAGCCAGGCTGGGTAAATGTTTGCTGTGACTAAGCCAGGATCAGAGAGTGACTATTATTTGCACTGGTTGGCATTGAACTTGCAACTCTGTAAACTGTGCTTCTTTCGACTGTATGGGCGTGTGCTTCAGTCACTGTTATTGGCAGGGCTCGTCCAAGGGCAGCCCTCCTGTGTTGATGGCCTCTGAAGCCTGAGTGCAGGAAGGCACATTAACCTGTGGCCACCTGCAGGAGTGGGTGCCCTTACCTGCTTTGCCCTTTTTGTTCTGCTGTAGGCTGTGACTTTTGTGAGTAAACGTGTGTGTGTGTGGCGTGCGCTCACGCACATGGGGAAGTGCTGCATCCCACTTGTGTTACTGGGGGCTGAGTATCCCCCCAGCTTTGAGCCTGGCCTCAGCTGTTACCTTTTCGATTCTATGTCCATCAGTCACCGTGCCAAGTCTGTAATAAAAGCCCGTTAGCCGTGTGTGATATTAATGTTCAACTTGGCCTTGTCTCACCCCCCCCACCCTTCTCAAGAGGGAGAAGAGTTGGGGAATTTAAGCAACTTTCCTCCCACCTCACTTCTCCCACCATGCAGGCTGGGCATCCAGCAGGGGGAGCCCGCTGCCCAGGGCTCAAGCTGCCCGGTTCCAGCCGGCCTCCCCTGCCCCTCTTCCTCCGCTTGGGTGGAGTCCCAGTGAAACTGTGGTCGATAACCCGTAGCCTTTCCCAGTCCTGTACATATTTGCGCTCTCAGTTCCTCCTCCTCCTCCTCTCGTGTGGTGGAAACTTGCAGCTGCCTCACTCTGCCTCCCTGGGCAGCCAGATCTCCATCCACCCAGCCCCACAGCTTAGGGGTATATGTGGACTTTCCCTTAGAGATCACCGGGGCCGTGGAGCAGGGTGGCCATGCAACGGGCAGAGGGGCCTCGGACCCTCTTACTTAGAAGGGTAATTATGATGTTCGAGGAGGTGGCACTACAGTGCCACTATCATGTAGAACCTTGGGTCAGTGGCCCAGGGTCCATCTTGATCCTCTGCCTCAGGGAACCCCAGAACGGGCTGATGTGGGAGGTGCCTATAGTCTGGGACCTTACAGGACACCCCGTCTCGAAGCTGGTTGGCTTAATCCCATTGGTTCCAGATTCTGTACAGCCCACTCGAATGATGGTCACCTCTCAGGATCCTGAGGCCCAGATGTTGCCCTCTCCCCCTCTCACCTCCCTCCCCTTCTGCAGGAGGTGTCTATGCCCCTTTCTTTGTTCTGGGCCTCAATTTCCTATCCCCCAGCAGAAGAGAATCAAGAGTGGAAGGGCTGTGTGGGGCAGTGGCCACGCACCCTGGCCAGCCTGGCTTCAGTCCCAGCTCTACCACTGCAAGTGCCTGGGGACCTAGGGCGAATGATTTAACCTCTCCAAGTCTCAGCTAACTTGTCTGGAAAATGCGGACAGTGCTAGCACCTGTCTTAGGTGATAAGAAGATTAAATGAGGAACCTGGGATATACTTGTTCTAGGGCTGCCTGTTGGAAGGAAGCACTCCATAAACGTTAGCTGTTAACACTGGGCAGGGCTGTGAGTGTGGGGAGGGTCTGAGCTCCTCCATGGGAAGCTTTATGGATTGAGTCATTGGTGAGATCCTAGAAGGTTCTGAGTAGTGGGGAGGGGTGGGGGAAGAGGCCTTGGGAAAGGCAGCACCCCTGAGCCTGCCTTCTGTCCCTCCAGCTCCTGATCTCCCTCACTCCTCTGAGTTCCCCTGGCCTGGGCGAGGCACCTAACAAAGGCCCCCTTGTGTGAATCTGTTTGTTTGGGTAATAAATTCCCTGAGTAACAGCTCCCTGGGGTGGGGTAGCCCAGCGGCCTGCAAGGAGCGGGCTTGGAAGCTGCAGGACCACATTGTTTAGTGGCCACCTTGGTCTCTCCCTGTGTTTCCACCACGAGCTCCAGAGATTTGGCCAGTTTTTTCCAGTTCCCAGCTCTTGTGGCTTCAGAAAGAGCTGGACCTAACGTCATAGGGAGAGAGCTCGCTCCTCTTCCTTAGCACATTAACTGCTATGACAGTTGTTTTTAACTCACTCTAGTTTTGACCCCAGGGCCACGGGTAGCATATATAAAATCTTGCTGATGTTCTTATTGTTACAATTAATATTGACAATTTAATTCTAAAAACGTGGATTAAACGAACAGAAGTCAATACATTTCGTTTTTCTATTTATGTTTACCTTTAAATTACACTCAAAGTTTTAATTCTATTTTCGTAATAAAACACTGTGGCTCTGAGGAAAAGTTTCTGATTTTTTTATACGGTAGTTAATGCGTTAAACTGAAGCTATGGGTTATGGTGGAGTTCCTTATAAAAGAAGGGGGAAGAAACCAATATTTAACTGAGCACCTACTATGGGCCACTTAATACTGACCCTGTGAAACGGGCATTATTCCAGCCCCCTTTTACAGAAGAGGGAACTGAGACTCAGAGCAGTTTTCTAAAAAATGTTCCCAGGTCACCCAGCTACTAAGGGGTAGAGCCAGAATGCATCCTGATCCAAGCCCTGACTTTGGGGTCAGTCACCAAAGGTCTGCCCCACGCTCTCGGAGCACCTACTGGCCTCTCAGCTGGCCAGAGAGATCTGACCACTGACGTGTAACTAGCTCCTTCCTCTGCTCCTCCATACCCCATACTAAGCCTAGCTTGATGGTGAAATTAGTGACCCAGTTCCTACATTGTCACACCTGGGGACCCTTCCAGAAGCTTGAAAGGAACAGTCCAAGCACAAAGGCCCACTTTACTCACATGAAGAGTGGTAAAGGCATGACAAACAGTCACCTCAATAAACGCAAGACAAGAACATAAACAGTTTCTCTGCTTTTGCAGCATTGTTTATTATGAAGAGAAACCTATGATTTTTTTTTTTAGACAAAATTTGAGGCCCCAGGACTCATCTCTGGAGCTGATCCGTCTTATATACTAGTAGGGGAAAGGAGAGGAGGAAACTGGCTGCTTTTAGCTCCTACCAGAGCTTCCCCACCCACTCCCCCAGTTTAGACCCTTGGCCTTCTGTGGCACCCCCTATGGAGTGCCAAGGTCTTCTGCCCCCTCCACACCTGGGGACAAAGTTCCAGGAAGTTTACCACTTGTGCTAGGAATTGAGCTCAAGTTCAGTGTCTCTGCCTCTGGCTCCACAGAAACCACCCCCCATCACGTGGCTTCTGGAAAATGTGCTCTCCTCAGGATTGGTCCAGGGAACAGTCACAGGTAGAGAAAGCAGAGGGAGGGCAATTCAAACTCACCCTTGACCCTGTGCCGAGGGGAGGTGGAGTCTGTCCGGCTCCCTCTCTCCGTTCCCTGCCAAGTCCACCTCCCCATGGCCCTGCCATTGCTTCAAGGAGGGCTGTCCTTCCTAGGTGGGAGTGTTCACCCTTGAACTGGAGTGCCTTTGTATGCGTCAGGGGAGGGTGGGAGGACCCTGGATCTCCCAGGCCTAACAAAAGTGAGGCGTGTAGATACAAACCTAACAGCCAGACATTTCCTCCCAGCAGGCGTCAGCTGCCCCCACAGTGGCTTCAGCTATGACCAATGAGGCCAGCGTGGCAAGCTCCTGTCTCAGATCCAGCTGAGGGCAGGGAGCCAGGAGGTGCTAGCGTCCTCCTCGGCCCTTCACTGTCCTTTGCCCTCCCGGCCATCAAAGAGGCCGGGGTTCTCTGCCAGCGTGGCTCGAACTTTACTCTTCTCCTTGAAGCGGCCTGAATTGGAGACTTTGACGTGCTTGCCTTTTGTGCTCTTGTCCACAATCTTCTCCAGGCGGGTGTTAAAGTCGCTGTTGGGGCTCCCAGTGTTGGACCCTGAGGGTTCCGTGCCTCCCTCCGTTTGGGCATAGGTGTCAGGGATCTCGTACAGCACCTTGGGAGTGGATTTCTTTTTCCGGAGGAAGGTCAGCTTCCACCAACCAACTTCAGTCATGGCGCTTCCTGAGCCGAAGGTGGGGCTTTCTGCCGGAGCAGGATGGGGGAGAAAGAAGGGTCAGTCAGAGGAGGTGTGGGCACCTTTGGACCAGCCCTCCCTAGACTCCTAATCATGGACTTTTTTGTTTTTTTTTGGAGACAGAGTCTGGCTCTGTTGTCCAGGCTAGAGGGCAGTGATGTTATCATAGCTCACTGCAACCTCAAACTCCTGAGCTCAAGCGATCCTCCCGCCTTGGCCTCCCCAATGCTAGGATTACAGGTGTGAACCACCATACCTGGCCTAATTTTTGTATTTTTTGGTAGAGTCGGGGTCTAGCTATGTTGCCTGGGCAGGTCTCAAACTCCTAGGCTCAAGCAATCCTCCCATCTTGGCCTCCAAAAGTGCTGGGATTACAGGCATGAGCCACTGCACCCAGCCATCATGGGTTATATTGTGAATTAAAGAGTTGAAGGTTGTGGCTGGCTGAATAAACCCAGGATGCAGGTAAGTGGAGTGATGCAATGCTTTTGGAGACTGTGCGAAGAGACAAAATCAAGGCTGGGCACAGTGGCTCACACCTGTAATTTCAGTAGTTAGGGAGGCCAAGGAGGGAGGATCGCTTGAGCCCAGGAGTTTAAGACCAGCCTGGGCAACATAACGAGACTCTGTCTCCACAAAAAATTTAAAACTTAGCTGGGTATGGTGGCATGCACCTGTAGTCCCAGCTACTCAGGAGGCTGAGGCAGGAGTTCAAGGCTGCAGTAAGCTTATCATGCCACTGCACCCCAGCCTAGGCGACAGAGTGAGACCCTGTCTCTAAGAAAATAATAAATTTTTTTAAAAGTTCAAGCCAGGCAGAAGGGCAACAGGACAGGCACACAGCATTGCCTTCTAGGGTTGTAGGGAGCCTTTAGATCATTCCTACCAGGCCTCTCAGGGCTGCAGGCAGGTGGACAACTTGCCCAGGTTACACAGCATCCAGGCCTTTGACACTGACCCCAAACTCTTTCTGCTATACCACCAGGCCCTGCTGCCAGGTGTGGGCAGACTATTTACTGGCAGCATATGAACAGAAACACCGTGTGCATTTTGCTTGGAATTCATTACAAAATTAAATAGAATTTGTTATATTCCAAGCAATTTGAATTTCCCCGTGGTGACCAGCAGGGCTAAGGCAGCTGCTGAGCTTTTCGTAAGGGGAAGAGTGGGGACCTCAGGCTGGGAGCGGGGAGTCCTAGGGACTGTCCTAGCCTTGTGACCTCTGGCAAACTACTTCTCTGAGCCTCAGTTTACTCACCCATCCCATTCAGTCCTAGCATTTAGCTCTACCGTTAATCCCGGCGCGCAGAAGTAGCCATGATTTGCAAAGTAAAACTTACGATAATGGGAATAATTATTGAGGATGTCTCCCTTCCCCACCAAGCTTCCACAAGGACAGAAGAGCAGTTAGGTGGAGCCTAGAGGTACAGATGAGATGTGGTCAACACAGGTCGTACCTTCTGTGGGGGCATCAAATGGGGCAGGGTGCAGGGGTGAAATCAGGCTTCTCAACTGACAGGTGACATCCCCTGACACAGAGCTGCCTTCCTGGAGGGCCTCACTTTTTACTAATTTCCACAAAGCTGCTGCGAGCTAGTGGAAGTTCCAGGAGATGAGGTTCCCTGGACAGTGGCTGCGGCACGTAAGATAGGAGCATGGGACAGTCGACTAGAGGAAGGAAGGTCGTGACAGAGGAGGCAGAGGCGTGGAGACCGTAGGCGAGGTGGGCGCTCTAGTCCTCAGGACCCGGGAGGAGCGCGCAGCAGCCAGTCAGCGTAGGCCAGAAAGCTAGGAGGTCACCCGGGCCTGGCCCAAATGTACCACCTCCTTTTAAAAACGGGTGGTCTTCACTGTGTTTTCTAAAAAGACCAGACAGAAATATTCCACTTGACTAATAGTGGTTTTCTTTATACAGAAGGAGTAGAGGATGCTTTCTCCTCTTTTTCCCCTCTAGTTTTCTTTTTTTTTTTAATTAAAAAAATTTTTTTGGAGATGGGGGTCTCACTATGTTGCCCAGGCAGGTCTGGAACTCCTGGGCTCCAGTGATCCTCCCACCTTGGCCTCCCAAAATGCTGGAATTACAGGCGTGAGCCACCACACCTGGCCTCTCTTCTAGTTATCTTACTTCCAGAATTTCCATAATGAGTATGGATTTTTGGGGGGGAAGCATGTCAAATTCAGGAAAAATGAAAGCAAGATGCTGGTCTAGGCTTGCAATGAGTTGAATGCCTGTGTCGAGCCCTCACTGCTGTGGTCCCCTGCCCCTCCATACTCTCACCCCTTCCTCAGAGCACAGGCCCGAAGGACTCCTTCCCACCTCTTTGTCCAGGAAGCAGCTCCCACATTGGCCAGCTCTGTCCCTTTAGCAGGACTCAAGTAGCAAGAAAAGCTGAGGGCAGATCTGTGCAGCTCCCGCTCAGAGAGTAAAGGAGAGGGTGAGGATGGCCAGTAAATCCTTTCAGGGCACCCCGGAGAGGTAAGTGCACCAAGGGACAGCCTGAGAGGTTTGCTTTGGCAGCTTGCCCCACCTGGGCTTAACACAGCCTTACACAGAACTTGGTTTTCCAGAATGGGTTTCTGGAAGGAAGTGTGGGGAGGGCAGGGAAGGAGGGACGGGGCGATTGCTTGGTCGGTGGGTGTCCTAGTCGCTGCCTTGTCTGTGGCAAGGTCCATGGCCCCACCACCGCCCATGTGGAGCTGCCAAGGAAGTTGGGGGATGGAGGAACAGAAGACCCAGCTGCTGAGCCCAATATAACCACTAGATTTCCTAGCTCCATGGGAGAAAGTGGTTTCTGCCTGTGTCAGTAAAAATATACCCATTTTAACAGGTATTTCAAGCTGGCATCCACAGGGCTTAGCTCTCCTTGGAGTAAAGGGAGCCACAGATCACAAGGAACTTGTCAGAAAACATAGACAAGAATAGCCCAGGTGCCCTGCCCTGGGGCCCCCAGCAAAGCACCAAAGCACCGTACCCTGTGTCCTGGTCTTGTGCCCTGTGCCCTGGCCTCTCCAGGATGCTCTTCGCCAGGCCTTCCTATCTCTTCCGCCCAAGAGGGCGACTTGAGACCAGTAGGCAGGTGTTTGCCCCTTTTGGCAAGCCTGACAGGGAAATCTGAATTTGCAAAACAGATTAATTAGTGGGATATTCTTTGTTTTACAAAATAATCCAGCAATAGGATTCTTTAGATAAATGGTGATGAAAAAAGATAGTGTAAAATCCGATATACTTAAAAAAAAAAAGGTGATGTGATATCCAAACTTTCCAGATACCCAAAGTTGCAAAGAGCAAGACAGCTATGTGCCCATGCCTAACCACAGAGGAGACTTGGGAGGGGGAGGGTGGGTGTTTGGGATTTCAAACAGCCAGCATTTGGTGACATGTGGCGGGCCCTGCAGTCTGCTCATGCAGGGCCCTAAGCTGGCCAAGCTGAGGGCTGGGCCCTTGCCCTGGGGCCCTGCCATGCATGGGATAATAGAAATCAGCCCTTGAGGACGCCAGCGCCCCCTCTGCTGTTTGCACAGCTTTGGGGTCCATGAAGGGCCTCTTAGGACAGCCTACCACCCCCTGCCATTGGCGGTCAGCACTCTGACATGCACGTGGCTGCCCAGGACAGGCCCCTCCACCCCAGCTGGGTTCTGTGAGCTGTTCTGAAGAGCTTTGCCTAGACTGCGCTGGGCCCCTTCTGAGCTGGGACAAGTTAACCATTGACTGGGGCGGGGGCGGAGGGGTGGAGGTGCGGGTTGGGGGTGCAAGTCAGCTTCTGTGTTGTAAGACAAAACCTGGAAGCCCCCTCCCCCTCCTTCTGCAGGGTCCCTAATGCCACTCGTCCATACTGGATGAGACTGGGGTACTCTGGATTGGAAAGGGGAGATGTCCCTACCAGACAGCTGGAAACATGCTCCAGGCTGGGAGTCAGAAGGGGTGGGCAGGTAAGCAACAGTTAGTAAAGACCTGCTCTGGAGTGAACCTTTCTCATCAGGAGCTCTGTTGGAGGCCTGGATTGACTCCAAGAGGCCAGTGGGATAAGTCCGAATAGAGACAGCTTGCCTGGGTTCCCCTTCCCTCTGGGCTTGTCAGCCAGACTGGGGACTGTGCCTTGGTTTCCCCACCCACCAGCCCTCTGCCTGTACCTGTAATCCCGACTGCTCCGGGCTGGAGGTGAGACCTTCCCTAGAGAAGGAGTTGAGTGTAGGAGCTGCCCAGGAGGGTGAGACTGGGGGAGGAGGAGGTGCCTTCAGGGTGTCGCACCGGGCAAGGCTCAGGCCAGGAGAGGTGGGTAGGAGCAGCTGCACCTCAGGTACAAGAGAAACAGGTGCAGGAGCGGGTACCTGCTCGCTCCGCTGCTGCCGCTCCTGGAGTCAAGGTGAACCTGAAACCCAGCTCCTCCCGGCTAAATAAACAGAAGCAGAGGCCGGCTCAGGCTGATGAATATTCATCACCCCAGAAATCCAATCCCGGCGCCCCTGCATCCACCCAGAAGCCAGGGTCCTCCAGGGACTGCCGAGCCAGAGAAGGGAATCCCAAGGGAAGTCTGGGGTAGGGGAGCACAGGAGCCTCTCTCCTCAGTTTCCCCACTCTCAGATGTCTGCTTGCACCCCCTGCTGTAGCCAAGGTCGCCCCCACCCATTTAATCCTCCAAAGAGGCTCAGACCCTTCGCCAGCATGGACCACCACCTGGATGTTGCCCAGGGCACAACCGGGAAAGGGTTAAGGGCCGCTGCTCCCATTGGCAGGCTGGGCAGGGGTGCACCCCAGCTTCTTTTGAACTCTCTGAGTCGAAACCAGTCCCTGGTTAAACTGGTTGGCAGACCGGTTCCCAGGCTGTCCCTCCCCTGCCAGAAGCCTCAAAGAGGGTGCTGAGGTGGGGGGCTGTGGTTCCCTCCTGACCTGAAGGGTCCCTCCTCAAGATCTCCCTGGAGAGAAAAAGGGGGCACTGACCTGCTCCTTGGACCAGGCTCTCCTGACCCACCACAAACTCAAACATCCTCACCCTGCCCCTTGCTTACAGGTGGGCTTCAGGACCCTTGAAATCATATGCAAAATTCCCTGTGTGGGGGCAGAGTAGCATTGATTTTTCTGCATAGATTATATTTTTATCAGATTCTCAAAGAGAGCTGTGACAGCCTCCCTACCCCCAAAGTGCCACTGGGTTCAACTTCCCCGAACTTCCAGCAGTCTGTTGGAAGGGCCTCGCTGGGTATTACAAAGTTGGCAAAACCTGGAGCAAGCTCTCGGGGACGAGGGAGAGGTGGGGCCCTGGGGAGGCAGGAGGAGAGGGACAGGCAAGAAGGCAGGTGATGGGCATGCGGCTGGGGGCAGGGGCAGCGTGTGTGCACTTGGGGGCTTTGTCCTCTCTGATCTGCAGCCACATTCTCCCTGCAAACCCACCATCAGGCAGGACAGCATGTGGCCCTCAGCCGGGGCTTCTCTTGGAGACAGCTCTGTGTTGTTTTGCAGCCACCCTGAGGTGGCCTGTTTGCGTTTGCATTTCTCCCTCGGATGGGCATCGCTGGACAGTGGGAAGCACCTGCTGTGTATTCAGTGTCCCTGCCGCGTCCCAGCGTCCCAGTGCTGCCCACTGAGACACTCCATCCACCCGCCGGCTACCTGCCTCCGTGGACTGGGGGTGCACTTGCAGACACAGAGCGAGGCACTGGGTAGAGAAAAGGCCTAAAATCCCCCCGTCCCTGGCTCCCCCTCCAAGTTACATCTTAAGTCATGACTAACCAACCCTCAAACCTGCCCCACCATCTCCAATCCTGCTTCTACTTGCTCCAGACCAGAAGGATGGTGGGATGGGCCTTTGCCTGGGGGACAGTAACCCAGGTCAGGGCCCGGTTTCCCATCTGTACAGGAAGGGGCTTGTCCTGTAGGTGCTTTCTCCCTGCCTCTGAGATCCAGACCTCTGATGTCTGAGACCCAGGGGGAAGGTCCTGTTCTCTCAGCCCCATGCTGGAGAAGGTGCCGCAGGAAGAACTGCAATGGCAGGTCCACCTGTGTGGCCTTCCCTTCCAGAGCGCCACTGGGACCAGGTGCAGGCCCAGGAGGCCCCAGCCCCTCCTCCTGGGAGGGACCAGCCTGGGAAGTAAGGCCCAACCCCTGGCCTTCAGGGGATTTATTTCTGGGAGGAGCAGGGTGGGGGAGTTTGAGATAAGGCTGTGAGCTATGAATATAACTCCCCACCCAAGGGCCACTTTATTGCTTTATAAAAGTTTTCACCTTTAAGTGCACCTTCCTAAAACTAAGTTCAAGTGTGATATGCCATACACAAACATGCAGCGTGCACGTTTTCAGAAATGTGACCTGTTGAGAGAAGCAAGTTAAATTCACCTAAGCGAGAACAAGGACCTTGGTGCCCTGCTGGGGCACATGACCACGGGGCTGTTGAGACCCAGGGGGAATTATAAATCTTTCCCATTTGGACTGGGCGTGGTGGCTCATGCCTGTAATCCCAGTACTTTGGGAGGTCAAGGAGGGAGAATCATTTGAGGCCAGGAGTTCGAGACCAGCCTGGGCAACATAGGGAGACCCTGTCTCTAAAAACCACACACAAAAATTAGCTGGGCGTGGTGGTGCTGCGCACCTGTAGTCCCAGCTACTCGAGCGGCTGAGGTGGGAGAGGCTGAGGTGGGAGGATCGCTTGAGCCCAGGAGTTTGAGGTTGCTGTGAGCTGATTGTGCTACTGCACTCTAGCCTAGGTGACAGACAGAGACCCTGTCTCTAAAAAAAAAAAACAAAAAACAAATTCTTCCCATTTTACTGACCTCTGTCCAGAGAGTAGATCTAGGCTTCAGGGATATTTCGTTCCCAAAACAGGGAGAAGAGAGGACCTGCTATTCGCCTCAGCACTCCGCCTTTTCTGGAAGGCCAGGAGACTGGAGATCTGGAGGTGACAAGTGGGGCAAGGCGACGACCTCTAGTGGGCTACATCAGGTCCAGCAGGGAGGTAGGGCGGGGCTGGCAGAAGCTGCCTTCTGACCCAGGTGGGTAGTAACGTTGCCATTGGAGGGGGCTTTCTTCCTGCTTTTGTGGCGGGTCTTCCCTTAAGGGAGACCTCAGTTGGGGAGTGGAAGTGGCCAATATTTAGGGGGACCGTATTCCAAGTTCTCTTGGAATATTCCAAGTTCTCTCTCCAAATGTTCTGTATGTGTGAGCTCTTGGTCCCCACAGCCACCTCCCACAAGGTGGATCCCAAACTGGATACACCAAGTTGCACCCCCACTAGCAATTTTCACCTGCTGCTTTTTGTATTATTAATAGTTTCCTGTGGCTGCCATAACAAGTTACCACAAACTTAATGGCTTAAAACAACAGAAATTTATTCTTCTGACTTGTCCCATAGGCCAGAAGTTGGAGGTCAGTTTCACTGGGCCAAGACCAAGGAGTTGGCAGGGCCACGATCCCTCTGGAGGCTCCAGCTGTTCCTTGCCTCCTCCAGCTTGTGGTGACTGTAGGCATTCCAGGGCTTGTGGCTGGATCACTCCAATCTCTGCCTGCCCGGTTTTCACATCACCATGTCCTCTTCTCTGTCTGGCTGATCTCCCTCTGCCTCTCTCTTAGAAGGACACTTGGGATGGCATTTAGGGCCCACACAGATGATCAAGGATTATCTCCTTATCTCAAGATATTTAAGTTAATCACATCTGCAAAGACCCTTTTTCCAAATAAGGTCACACTCACACAGTCTGGGGATTTGGTGTGGCTATCTTTCGGAGGGCCATTTGCAGCCTGCCACATTGTTCATTCTCACTAACTCTGCGTTGCCAGGCCGTGGTAGACGAGTGTGTCTCCGGCGTCCTCCTTCGGGGAGGGACTTGCTGCCCAGCCCTGGGAGTGTGGTCAGCAGTTGGCTACCAGCTGTCAGCCCCTGCAGGGTCTGCCTAAGCCACAGAAAGCCCACTTCTGGGGATATAAAAGTCCATCCATTTCAGCCCCTTAAAGGACACTCTGAGGGGCAATATTCACTCCAGAAGCCCCCACCAAACTGACCAAAGTTTTGTCAGGCCTGCAGTGCAGTTGGATTTTTCCCTCTGCCCAATCCTACTTCCATCTGCTTCCTTTCACAGCAAATGATCTCTAATGAACATCTTCCCCCCAAAAACACCACCTACTTCTAGAGATTACAGTCTCCGACAGGGACATTTCAATTTTCCACCCAGAACCCCAGAATGTGACCTTATTTGGAAATAGGGTTTTGCAGATGTACTTAGCTACAATGTGGTCATACTGGATTAGGGTGGGCCCTAGATCCAAGGACTAGTGTCCTTATAGGAGGAGAGGCACAGGGAGAATGCCAGGTGACTGGCCCTGCATGGACCTTCACTGGCCTCATTTACTTAGGAAGCTGACCAGCCCTGATTTCTTCTCCCTGCTTTCCTCCCTCCACTCCCAAGAGGCTCAGCGGGGTCGACTCTAAGTCCTGAGCTGTAGAGGGAAGGATGAGGAAAGGAGCTGGGGACCTCATACCTCTTCCCCCAAGACCAAGTGATCATGGTCCCCACTCATCACGGCCACCACCATCATTAAATACCTTCCTGAATACAGCCACACCTTCTCTCCTTCCTTGCTTTACGAGCATCCGTTAAGCACCTGACACTCAATGTCAGGTGTCATGCCAGGTCCTGGGGTTACAGAGACTAACGAGGCTGTATTCCCTGCCCACAGGTGCTCACAGACTAGTGGGTGAGATAGACGGAAAAAAACGACTCAGAGATTTCACTCCACACAGCAAGGTGCCCAGACAAGGCTGCTAAGTTTCCAGGGCTTCCAGCCCAGCAGACAGATACACACACACACGTACACACACACCCCATAGTCAGTGTGGCTGTGAGCAGAAACACAGACCATAAAGTAATAAACACATGGCAGATAAGAGAAGTAGATTATTTGAATGTTGAGGGTAAGCCTTCTCTTTATGAACATTGCAGGAGGATAAGTAATGGGTGCCCTCGCCCAGAATGGGGTGTGGTAAGAAAGAACTTTGGAAGGAGCAGGGACTGCAGGGGTGGGGGTTCTACGTGTCTGGCACATAACTGGGGAGAAAGTGGGAATCAGGCCATAGAGAGGAAGAGACCCAAGGCCACTGTGGCTAGGGAGAAACAAAGGCACATCCCAGAGAGAACAGGAAGGCAAGTTGGGGAGCCAGCCCCACCAACTACCAGCTGTATGATCTTGGACAAGTTATTTAATTATCTAAGCCTTGGCTCCCTTGCCTTTAAAATCTGGCTAATAATAGTACTCACATTATAAGGTTGTTAGAAGGATCAAATTAGATTAGGCTTGTAAAACATTCAGATCTACACTGGCACGTGGCACGTGGTTATCACTT